TATATAAATACAGCAAAAAATTTGTTCCCCATCGTTATTCATTAGAAATTTTTTAAACTAAAAATTTTAAATATGAAGCCATGTATACCATTTAAATTTTGACAAATAGTTCTTGTAGTCACATTATATTGTTTAATGTAGGTTAAAGTGGTATTAACAATCATTTGTGTTTCCATCATTGTGTTGCTCAAATTTGAACATTGTTGCGAGAAGTCTCTGAAAACATACTTTTACTGCATTTGACCCATATCCGTTCAAGGATACATCGTAATTTCAAGATTAATCTTCATTGTTTTGTCAATCGGTTAAATATGTGATGAAAAAAATGGACCATTTCTAATTCTACGCGTAATGTTTAGAACTGTGAATCAAAGTATATGTTGATATTTATTAGTTTTATCTGGCTTTTGTAAATGTGTCTTAGCCAGCCTTGTAATGAAATGTCTTTTTTTTCTGGGTGGGGAAACAAATTTTTATACATCAAAGATTCAGAGTTGGTCAGTTTGCTTTGTTATACATTCTATTATATTTTCCTCGTTTTGTCGAAGCAACAATTTGCATTTGTGTTTTATCTAAATATAAAAAAAATTACGGTTGCAACTAGTTTTTGTTCAAGTTCGCATTTCTTGGTGAGAAAGCTTCTACATTCAGACTGCGCAATTTAATCATAATCGAGGCCTGTATATTATTTCGATTGATCGCACAGTTGTAAAATTGGGTAATTGTGGATTGCAATCATAGCATGGAAATGCGATTCGTTAATCACCTCAATATTAAATTTGAAATGACGTCAAAAAGGGATCCCTTCATTCTCATCACGATTTCTCAGGAGTCTCAGAGAGACAGTTATAACCATTTTTCACTTAAATTTGTTTTTCCCGCTCTCATTTTCGAGAATTACTTAATTTATAACACCATTCCGTTGTCTTTCCTTTGAAACGAAATCTCGTTTGAATTTGGCATATCCTTGGTAATAAAATGGTATACATATTTTGACCACCATAAGAAGCATAACACTGTTTAATTTCAAAAATTTTGCGTATAAATAACATAATTTTGCTGTATAATGCCGAGCCGATCAAAGCGGAAAACGCTGCCGCTGCAAAGCAGTACGCACCTACATATCAATAAAATGCATTGCAATTTATTTATATTTAACTAAAAATTTCGAAATCCCTGCAGTTTAGGCATTAAATCATTTAGTTTAGGCATCATTAAATCATTTAGTTTAGGCATCAGTGAAATCGCTGTTGGAATAGTGTTTAACTATAAATTAGACAATCGATTCTCGTCACGATAACAATTCTAACTAATTTATTCCAACACACTATTAGCAGACTGTATAATATAATATTTATACAACAAACAATATTATAACTTTTTGAATTGCTGAAACAGCAATTTTGTATGTAATTCATTAAAAAAAAATATTCTGTTATTTTTAATAATGACTCTTTTTTTTATTTAATTTATTTTTCCCTGCCCTGTGGTTATTTACTAGTTAGAAGCAAACTATCTTTACAAATCGGATACATATTTCAAAACAGCCAGTTGCGTCCGGCAATCGATATTCGTCATATTTGATGACGTATTCATTGCATGAAAATTTCGACCCCGGGTTTTCTATTTTTTCCCCCTACTGGGAAGTACTGGGCATCTGGGAAGTCCCTACTCGCCTATAAAAGAATAAAAATGTAGGTGGACCCCTCACCATTTCAATTTACGTATATTCCACGTGCTCCGCGATCGATTCCACACGTCTGGCCAAGGCCACTGCTCTACACGCTCTCATAGAGATAGTTGGGTGGATGTCAGAACGCATCCTCATCTATCTAAATGAGATGTTCTCTCCTGAATATGTCACCCAAGTGTCGCCAAATACATACTCATCGAGAGTGCGCAATTATGGATTGGTTACTTTAGCCATTAGAAGATATCTTAATGTGCCGTTGTTAAGCAATTAAGTGCTCTCATGTCTTGTTTAGGGAGGGGATACTTTGAAGAAGCATATCTATGCATTGACCTTTTATTTATTTATTTTTCTTAGAAATATAGACTTGTGATTTTTTCCAAGATATTTTAGGAAATTTTATGCGCACTTCGTATTTACTCCTATGTGTTCTATTTAGAAATATTAATGGGCAACTTTTTTTTTAATATTCGAATTATTTATAAGCGTACTTTAGCTTTTGTTTCCCGATTTTATAATAGAAAAATGTAACAATTCTTTATAAAATTAAAAAAAAAAAATATATAGATGCTTTTTGACCGGGATGGCTCAGGAAATAGAGCATTCGCCTTTCAATAGGGTGACGAAATACGAGTCTCAATGCGAATTCTACACCCGGCTCGTGCCGACCACAGTGCTGACATAAAATATCCTCAGTGGTATACGTATCATGGGTTAAAATCCCCTTGCCGTGGCGCTAACCTTGATATATGTATTTTCGAAGTTTACCTCTCAATGTAATGCAAATACGGGTTGTTAGTTTCATTAAAAATTTCCTCCACGGAGGCTAGTTTGTCCAAATGCTTGATACAGGAGTTCCCTTTTCTTCTGTATTGGGTTCAAAATTAGAAGGCTAAGGAGTTGAGCATTGATTGTCGTAAACTGGGTCGGCTGTTCAACGCCGTTAATAAAATAAAATAAAATGCTACCTTCTACGTTTAGAAACGTCAGAAAAATATTTAAGGAAATCTCATATTACTTACCATATATTCCTGTGTATAAGTGGACATACTATTTTTGATTAAGCGACAGCGATTTTCTGGTGTATCGGATGTAAGTCGACTGCTGAAAAAATTTAACATAAAAATTTCTAAAGATCAGAAAACATAAAATATATATGTGTGTATATTAAACCTACAAAATTTTACTCAAATTATTGAAATTTCGCTTTGTCCTTTCGGTATATGATACATTTGCCCTTAATTATAGATACTATGGAGCGCTCCCTCAAATAAAGATGTATTAACAAATGTGGAATTTTTTTTTATTTTATTTTATAACCGTCGTTGAACAGCCGACCCAATTTCACGGGTTTACGACTACCAACGTTCAACTCCGTAGCCTTGTATTTTTGAACCAATCCAGAAGACAAGGAAACTCCTGGATCAGTACCCCCAGAGGTATTGATTTGTTGTGGGAACATGGAGGACTTTGAGACTCGACAGATTTAACGTGCATCAGTCACCATTTACTACACGGGGAGTCTTCGGCCGGCGAGGATCGAACCCACGACCTCTTGGATATGGGCCCAGCGCCCTACCGACCAGGCTATCCCGGCCTTGAAATTCTTTGGGTGGGGCTAAAGACGATTTTTGTGGGACTCGACTGGTAAGGATGAAGTCGAATCCTTTGCAAAGTCAGGATCCGCCCGACGACACTGCTAACGTTATCGAATCCCATACAAATGATGCTTAGAAATTTTTAAATTTGTAGCTTTTTCATGTTTTAAAAGTTTTCATTGTGTTATATTTTTTGTAATATTCTAGAATAAATTATCTTAACTTTTCTTATTCTTAATTTTTTTTCTTTCTGGGAGCAATTTAAAAAATTTTTTTAAAAAAAACTTCAAATGTAGAGATAATATGATAAAAGAAAATTCGAAGTTAACCGTATAAAACATATTAAAAATAGTTTTAGAGAGAAGTAAATTGATACTGAGTTATTCATATCTATCTCATTGCATTGATATTTCATGATCAACAAAAATTTTAGTGCTGGTGTAGAAGTCGATATAGCTGGTATTTTATATTATGTTTTCTTCTTAGAGGCATTAGGCCAGTTTTAAGTAATTGAATACGGAAGTAATTACTGGAAAGCTAGAAAAATGCTTTAAGATTTGTTGTTTTAGTTTATTATGGTTATTTGAAGTTTACCTCCTTTCCTAAGGTTACCTTAAGTTGCCATCTTGAAATTAAGGAGGGATTTTTTATGTTGAAATCATAGCTGATAAAACTTAGTTTCAAAAATATGAGTATTTTAAGGATAAACTGTCGAAATTAAAGATGGGCTGCATGAGGTATAGTGATGTTTCTTTTTCTCCGTACTCCTCCCCCCCCCCAGTTATTTTTTAAGCTTCATGTTCTGTTTGATTTAATTTTCCTTAACATTTCTTGATATCCTGTACGTTTTACTGTAAACAAACTTGTTGGGTGTTAATACGGCTCTGGTGTGCTCATTTCTCATATTTTGGTTTATAAAAAATTTATAATAAAATTTTTAACACTTTTATTTATTTTCTGATAATTTTAAGCTTGTTTTACCATCCTAGATAACCTTGATCAATGACTGTGAAATTGGTCAAATGTTTTTGACAGATTAATATATATTTTTCTGAAAAATAAAAACTTAAACATCATGCCTATCACTATTAGAAATTCCTTAAGGATGTCCATTACTGGCACACATGCCCTAATAAATAATAAAATAATGACCCTACTGTTTTCATAAGTTTCAAAGATAGAATTGTTTAAATATTTTCATTCAATATTTTAACAGCTTCGTTTTAAAACAGCTCAAGTTGTTCATATAATTATTACTTAAATGTAACATTATGCAACATATTTCTTAGAAAATGTCAAATTAAATGGATTATATAATTGATTATTTAAGGGTTTCTGGTTCCAAGGGTTCAAATATTAATGCACACAAGCTTTTAAATTAAATATACATTTCTACTTTGTATTTTATTATAAGGTAAAATTGTACACAACTTAAAGACAATATTTTATATAATAAATATTCATATCATAAATGGTTTTCAGCCGAATCACAGCTCAGTATTCTGTCAGGCCAAAGCTTTTCCCTTTTCAAAGCTTTGTTCTATCTCTAAATCATTCAATTTTTAAATGGTAAATTGAAGGATCACCCACTTTTTTTTTGGGGGGGGGGTACCAAAATGTTAAAGTGTTTTAAAAATTGTTCTGATTTTTTTTTTATTAGGAGACTTACTACTTAGAACATTTATGAATTTAAAATGTTTCGCTTCTTTTAGTGAACAGTCAATTGCTTCTGCTAGAGCATCTGTGATGGTTTATGATGATATGAACAAAAAATGGGTACCTAGTGGATCCTCAAGTGGTTTATCCAAAGTTCACATATACCAGCATCTGACAAATAATACCTTTAGAGTTGTTGGAAGAAAACTGCAGGATCATGAGGTGAGTATTTATCTGTCTTCAATGGAAAATATAATAAAAAATGTTCTTTAGGAATTATTGATTAAATATTGCCATGTGCTTATTCAGGATTTTTAATAAATATTTTATCATATCCTTATACTAGAAAAAAAAATTTAAGAAAAAAGTTTTCCTTTATTAAGAGGTTTTATTTATAATTTCATAAAAGAAATCAGTAATACATCGCCCTAAACTTTTATAAATGATTATGGATTAAGTAATGTTCCCTTTTTTATGCTATTTCATGTGAAAGGGGTTCGAACATAAAATGGAATTGCTAAAAAAAAGTATATTCTCACAATTTTTGAAAAACTTTTTCATCAATGTTCTTTCTTAAACATTTTAAATGAAAAGAACCTTTGTAAAATTATTCTTAAAATAATTACAAAAAAAAAGCAAAAAAAAATCATTGAATATTACAGTTGGATGACAAAATATGGGGTTTAGTAATGATCATGTGAAATTCAACGATGAAACAAATTCACATAATCTTATTGAATAGTGAATTTTTCAATCGTACAATTAAAAAATAATATAAAGTGTGATATAGTTAAATATTGATGTAACAGAGATTATTTGCACTACTATACAAGATTGAAAGTGTTATTCTTCAGTTGTGAAATTCATAGTTCAGATGAAATATATCATAAAATGACTCACTATGACTCACATAAGTATGTTTAGTTTGTTGACACACATGAATAAGCTTGCAATATAACACCAGAAAGTGATAAATTAATACCAGGATTTGCTTCTATCTTTTAAACGATTGGATTTAAAAATGTTCAATTGTATGTTTGCCTCATTAAAAAAATATTACCAACATCCTGATGCATCGTGATGTTTGAAAGATATAGCTTTGTTTTTGCTTATGTTGTCAATTGAATAAAATTTCAATTACGTTTGAAATTTCAGTTAATACAATTTTCTGTTAATTCAAACAGCAACAGTCTTAAACATTATTATCCCAAAAAGAAAAAAAAATATTATTTAATATAATAGTGAATTTTAGCATAGAGGAATGAGTTTCAGACCAATAGATTACTTTTTAAGGAAGATTATATAACATAACCATCATTTTAAGAAAGATTATATAACATAAAAAATAAAAAAATTATTAAGCCAAACAAGCCAAACAATTTTTAATTGTTTGATTGAATATGCAACCTAAAGACATTATTTCCAATTTTTTACGCTATTTATAAGATTAATTAGAAAAAGGTTTCTTCAAAAATTAATTATAAAATGTATATTGAATTTACTTTATTTATTATTATTTTGCATGCAGTTTTTTCTACAATTTATTAACTAGATTATACTATGAATATACTGTTGACTTGCTTGTAACAAAAGTTTAAGAACCATTGTAATTCATTCTTTCAATCAGAATGATTGTTAAACGTAAGTTTGCTAAAATTTGCAAAAGTGAATGTTGTAATAAATATTTCTAAATTAATTTCAAAATGTTGGAAAAAAGTACTTTTTTTATTTACACAGAAGAGGTAATAAAATGTGTGAGTTTCATTTGTGATTTAAATTTGTGTCATTCCTCTGTACTTGTTTGGCACACAATGCTCATGGTACCAAATACATAATCACTAAAAAAAAATTTATTCTAGGAAAGTTTTCAATTTCCCTGAAAACTTAAAAACTTTGGATGTGTATAGTTATAAAGTTCATTGGTGTTGCTGTTTTTACATCTTCAGGGATCTGTCTAGGTTTTTCTGAGAGGTATCTATTTTGTGAAAATTTACACAAAATTTGTGAAAATTAAAAATTATATTAAACAATCAACACGAGAATATGGATTTATCATTTTTTACGAGAAACAGAAATAGAATTTTAAGAAAAAGTATTTTGTGAAACTACTGTTTTTCCTAAAGTTGAATTTGTGAAGGTGCCGCTAAACAGTAGTAAATTTGGCTTGGACAGATCCCTGATCTTAATCTGAATTTCATCATTCTGAATTTTTATAGAACTCAATTATTTTTGTAATTAAAATTTGAACTTTGTGTGTATCTTAATCTTATTACGCACTTTATTAGAATTGCTTTAAATTTTATTTAAAATTAATTAGTTTATCAACTGACAATTTGTAACTAAAAACTGTTCTTGAAGCTTTCGTTTAGTTAGATGTACCCAAGTACTAAAAAGTTGTAAAAAGTTTTTGTAGAATTAAAGCCATTTCGACATAAAAAACATATTTACATCTTTACAAAAATAAAAGAATATTTCGTCTGATTCAAATTATTTACTATTATAAAATGTAATATTACTCAAATTCAAATGTAATGATTTAATTTGTATTTATAGTAAGTTATCTGAATTATTTTTGTCAGTCATAGTTAAGAATATTGTAAATGATTTGATAATGTTTAAAAGTCATTTTCATAATTTACAGTATTTCTCACTAATGTAAGATGTACATGTACAGTCTATCTTACAGTAATAGTTTATTTTCTTCTTTTTAAAAAATATAGGTTGTCATTAATGCTTCTATATTGAAAGGATTGAAATATAACCAGGCCACACCAACATTTCATCAATGGCGTGACAACAAACAAGTTTATGGCCTTAATTTTAGCAGTCGTGATGATGCAGAAGCTTTTGCTGTTGCTATGCTCAGAACTCTTGAAATTGTTAACCAAAATAGTAAGTTTAATAACACTTGGAATCTAAAAGTATGAGAGAAGTTTATAAATCCTATTTGAAGCTCCATAATCAAGATCATAAGATGTTTGCGTTCATTAAGTATTAGCATGAGTAACGAATTTTTTTAAATTGTTCGATTTGTAAATGTATCAAAGAAAATTTTTGAAAAATCTTAAACTGATTTTTTTTAAAAAGTTGTAGATTATTTTACTGTTTACTCAACATTTTCAATTAAAATTGAGCTAAAGAATTTTGGCAAAAATCAGTTTATTTTAAAAAAAAGTAACATTCTATTAAGGGGCCGTTCAAAAAGTACGTATATCCCGAAGAGGGGGATTTGCTATTTTGTACGATGGGGAGGGGGTATTATACAAAGTACGTACATTATAAGCATACACCAAATTTAAATTAGCCTTTTTTCTACACATGTATTATACATATGTTTGTTCTTGTATATTTTTTCACATGGCGACCACTTGTTAGAATGAGTAAATCAGTTCTCAAAAAAAAGTTGTCTCGCAGGATTAAAAATTGCAAACACCAAACTTTCCCCGAAATTTTTTCTGGTACCGGGTGAAAACATCCTCCAATCACAGCACTTCCGCTGCAAAATCCAAAACCTCTCCACCTTCCATTTCACGCGCACCCCCATCATTGTCCCCTCCCCCTGTAGATTAATTGTATTGATTGTAGGAAATTATTATGTTGATCAGATAAGATTGTTTTATTTATTGATTCAAAGATAAAGTTGGGTGTTATTGTTTAAATAATTTAAATGAATAAATTATTCTAAATAAATATTTAATTTTATTTGAAACATAATTTAATTTTTGTGAAAAAGGGGGGTAAACTAAGAAAATGTACATACTCTAAGGTACCTTATGTATAGTAATGTACGAAGTTAAAATTTCTTGTTAATTAAAATTTGTGTATGTACTTTTTGAATGGCCCCTAACTACTTTTTCATTGCTAAGTTAATATATGTTTGTATGTTTTAAAAAGTAATGTATGTCTTATATAACTTATGAGTTTATTCTTTTTTTAAAAATTTGATTCTATAATTAATATTCTTTTTAATTTGAAGACATGTCTTCAAGACCACCACCTCCTCCTCCCATGAATTCGCAACCAGTTTATCAAAGTATATCTGGGGACATTGAGTGCAATAATATTGATCAACAAAAGTGGTATGTATATACTTTCTTATTATATGTCAGTTTTTACTTTAACTAAAATCTGTTAAAATTCAAATACAGTTTGCGATTTATACTTACTCGCTAATAAACTGGCCTAAAATTGCTAGTGCAAGTTAAACATGATTTTGAAATTTACCAACTAACTTTTAAAGTAATTTAATTATGTAATAAAAGTAATTAAAGTAATTTACTCTGACATTTACATGTTTTTTTCAGTTTACTATGATTAACTACTGTATTGGCTAAAATACTCACATGCATGTTATGAACCTTAATTAGGCTATTGTATGATTAATCCTTATTTTATAATAATTTCTAAGTACCTATTCTAAAAGTTTAGGATGATCCTCTAAACTTTAATTACATTTAAAAATTAAAAAACTTATTTATTTAAATGACGAAAAATTCTTTAAATAATTTTATCCCCATAAAAATTAACAAATATTGCATCCCTATTTCTTTCTGAAATTTGAAACAAAATAATAATCAACTGTAAAATCTCTATATTTTCATTTAAAAACTGAAGCATGAGATATGATTTTTAAAAAGGACTGTACTGCCAAAGTATTCTCTAAAAAATAGGTTACTCTTTAGAAAGTATGTTAGATATAAAGTTTCCATAAATTTCATTTTATTGAAGACTCTTAGTACAAAAAATTATTTTGCATTCTAAGAAAAGTTTTAATTAATTTGTTATTATTACAAATACATGCAGTATGTTACTCAAAACATGCTGAAATTATTAACTAAAATTAAATATTGATATTGATATCTTTGCTATTCTTCTAAAAAACAATGCTGGTCAACATATGTATTAACTATGTGGTTGCAATTTAAATGCAGCATAGAACCCAATAGACTTATTTTGAAAAAAGTGTCATTTCTGTCAGATTTACAATTTTTTGTGCTTTAAAGGATATCATTCTAATTGACCTATGGATAACGTCAATTGTCTAGTTGAGCATGTTGATTATTTTGCATTAAGAGCATTTATCTTATTTAACTTTTTGTTTGTTTTTATTTTAGGAATGACAATGACACTGGTCGAATGTCTCATCAAGTACAATATGCTAGTTCTACAAGTAAAAATCTTCTCTTCTTAACACATATCACAATTGTTAATACATTTTGGCATTTTTTTCTTCTTGTTCTGTATTTTTTTAACATATTTGTAAACGTCTTTAATCAAATATTTCATAACTACTTAGTTTTAAAAAACTTAAATTCTTTTATTAAATTTCTTTTGAGCATGTTTTAAATTTATGATATTTTATATTATAGTAATTTTGTATAAAGAAGGTTTATTTCAATATCAGTGACATGCAAAGGGGGTGGAAAGAACTATGGTCCCACTCATCCAGCCAAAGTGGGTTATCGAACAACCAAAAACACAATTACAACCAAATTTTACAACAAAAATGTTCATGTAACTATAAAAAATTTAAAAATATTTTTTGATTCAATAAGCAAAGTATTTCAACAAGGATGAAGTATGGTTTTCAAATAAATTTTATTATAAAGTTTAAGGTCATTAAAATTTTAAATGTTTTTTTTTCGTTTTTTAAATTTAGGAAGAGCGAAATATTTTGTTTGAAATAATGAACTTTTTACAAAAGAATGATTTTTGTCTGTATTTATGTATGTAACATTAAAAGCTTCAACTAATCTTTTTATGTTATTCTTTTTCTGTAAATCCTTTTTTTAATATATTATTCTAATCGAAACATTTTCTTACACTTTTAAATTCACATCCTGTCCTTAAATCTATTTTTGGCTCAAGTATGCATTAATAAAGGTAAGACATTTTACCCTTTGTTTATTATGGGAATCATGCGACCTATTTAATAAACCAATTACAATTATTAATTTTTCCCTAAGATATAATAGAATAGGGGAAAATTCATTTGCTATTTTTCTCCAGGATAAAAACTGAAACACACAGGTTTTGGTGTGTGATTTGAGCTCGACCAATGATAGAAATGTTTTGAATATGCAATGTGAAGCTAAATAAATTATTTGGCTTCACATCTCAACCATGACTGCCACCCTTTTATGTATACATAGAAAAAGGGATTTAGATTACTATAAATATAAATCTTTCAAATCAATTTTGTTGTTGATCTTTCTCCACTTTTTAGCTGCATATAATTGAGAAATTAGCCCTGGTCATCCCTTTCACCGTGAACAATATCTTTAAAAAATTGGTTGTTAAAGAAAAAAAATTTCTGCGGCCAGTGGAGAGTATTCTGATACTATCTTCACATATGCCCCTCTTTGAAAAAGCCATGCATCTAAAAAATGTGTTAACGAACACTCTGTCAACGTATTCATATCCTTCACAATTTTCTCTGCTCTCTGTATATATAACAATGTAAATATTCTAAAATATGTGTTACATCATTTCTTTTTCTTTTTGCAGTGAATGGTACTCAGATGCCTGGTTCTCCTAGCAATACACTTCACAGAACATCTGCTCCAAATTGTGCTCCACCCGCTCCTCCACAACCTCCTACTCCTCCTATGCAGTCCAATGCTGCACCACCTCCACCTCCTCCTCCACCACCACCTCCTACTATAGGAATGCCCCCAGTTCCTCCTCCACCTATGCCAAACTCAAGTGGTCCACCTCCGCCACCAGCTCCTCCAATGTCTGGGGGATTTTCTAGCCCACCTTGTCCTCCTCCCCCACCTGGGTCTTCAATGCAGCGCCCTAACACTGCTAACATGTCTTTGGCATCAGCATTAGCTAATGCAAAGTTGAAAAAGACACAAAGAGTAGGTGTATTTATTTATTTTTATAGTATCTTATGTATTTTTAAAAAAAATTAGCAGTTCAAGAAGTTTCAAAACTTATTTACATTCTTTTGAAAATGGCAAAATATGACTTTCATATATTAAGTGAAAAAAGGGTGTGCAATATATGAATAAAGCTAAACAAATTGAAAAGATGGTAAATAAAGAAATATATCATTGCATTATTTGTGCTTTTCCCATATTGTTTAGCTTTCTTCTCATATTTTTTACTTGAAATTGCTTACCTTTAAACTTTTATTATTTTTGCCAATATAATTTTAATAATTATAATTTTAATTTATGTTATTTTTATTTAAATAACATAAATTGAAAGTAAATCTTTTCGTTTAAAATATTTTACCTTCGAAAAGTATTTTCAGTAAAGAAATTCAACCTTTTTTTATGCCAATAATTTTAAAGCATTAATTATGTACTATATGAGATATTATGTAAATATTGATAGAAAAATAGAAAATTTTTTGTTGCATTTTTACAAATGCTAGGTCTTGCTTGAATCGGGTGGGGATTTCAAACCTGAAATTAGTTTTTTTCTTAAAGCTACAGATTTTTTTTAAAGGACATTATTAGTCTATTTTTCATCGAAATGTACAAGTGAAGAAACATATTTAACAGGGGATCACATAAATGTTGTGACTTACTTTAAAGTCAGTCAGAGTACATCACCATTCACCAGAATGAAAATTGCATAGAAACTCATACCCAGAAATTATATTGTACGCAGCTAGGGGCACTTCCCTATTGTGACCTGTTCAAAAGCTCAAGAAGAAATGGTTCATAATTGGAAAGTGCCATTAGCTGCAAATGATGACATTTCCAGACATGGTTTCCTATGCCATTGTAATCCTGATGTTGTAACCTGGACCTTATGCAGCTCCCCATTATATGTAAAATTTTTAAACTTGTACATTTTGACAAAAAGGGGTTTAAAAATGACATTCAAAAAACAACCGTGGCTCTAAGAGGGAAACCGATTTCAGATTTGAAATCAGTGATACTAAGATCTGTTAAAAAAATCTCATGCAACAGAAAAGAAGAAAAAATGTTCTCCAGTGTATTTAATATAGTCTGCTAAAATTTTTATGACCAATGGTATAACCAAAAAGGAATTTTGAGATTTGAATCTTCACCTAGAAGTCATTCTTAACCTTAAATTAGCTGCCAGCCATTTAGAAAGGATATTTGATTGATAATCAATAATTATTGTTAAGAATTGTTTTTAGTTTAAATACTCTTATAGTGAAAATTTATTGATATTTAAACTATCAAGTTTAAAATTCTACCAAGAAAACAGCTTTTCTGACTGTTACTGTTTGTGACTTCTATAAACGGTTTGAAAATAATCAGACAGGTATTTAATTCTATCGCCTGAAAATACCTAAGTTTTTAATGAGGAAAAAAAATTTCATTTTATCAATTTTCTGAAATGGTAAATATTATTGAGCAAAGAACCTGCACTAAATTTTATTTTTGCAATGAAATGTAGTTAAAAAAGGCTTTAAAAAATTTACTGTTAATGAACAGAAATTTTTTTCGATTGCTATAAAAAGTTCAAGGATTGTAAGGTAGAGAATCAGTTGAAGATGGTCAGCAATCTGGTAGACTGTCCACTTCGATTAATGATCAATTTATTTTTTTAAGTCAGAGACTTGATATTCAGTCATCATCGTTTCTGTCAACCAATTTTGAAAGACGGTTTAAGGTTGTGACTCATTCCATCTGGATTTGTGCCAAGAACTTTGAATTTGTTCCAAAAGCAACTTGTTTAAATGATTCGAGAGATGCTTTCACTCTGTGATTCCTTTTTAAAGCACATTTCACTTAAAAACTGCTCAACAATCCAGTAGCATTTGAAAGGTGAAGGAAAACCAAAAGAAAATTGTAAAAGCTACTCAAAATTCTAGGTAATGTTAACTGTTTTCCTTAATAATCAGTATGTTTTGCATTCTGAATTCCCACTGTTTGAACAGATTGTCAACAGTAGTTCATTGAAGATTATTATTTGAGTGTTTTATAGCGTTTATTTGAGGCAACTAATCAAAAACAATCTGAATGGTAATGAAAAAAGCACATGGGTTTTGCACCACAATAATGCATTTTCTGACATAGCAACTATTCTGCGATTTTTGACAAAATATTCTTCTGAAATGGTACCATGGGATTTTTTGTCATTCCTCAATTGAAATTGCTTCTTTAAGGTCATTGTTTTAAGTTTATTAATCCGATGAAAGGAAAATTCAGTATGATCTATTAAGAAGGAAAAAAATTTTAAGGAATGTTTGGAAAAAAGGTTGGCAAATATTCATTAAAGTTGGTTGAGACATTAATAAATTTGGACTAATAAATTGATATCTTTTGTTTTATGCTATCATTCCGTGTACTTTTTTGGTCACAGTATTATTATTATATCACAAGACTGTAATAGTTTATTATTGTTTCTTTTAAAAAAATTAATCGTTTAAACTTTCAGTTTTAGTATATTGTTTGTAATTTTTGTTAGTGTCAAAAAAACTAGTTTTTATGTCTAGAAATTGGGAAATGGTTATTTTTAAGACAGTTTTGTCAAAATGGGTTGTTCTTATTTGCTGAAGAAAAAATGTTCTGCAGATATGGTTAGAAAATTTAAAAATAATGTTAGATTTTGTAGAAAAAGGATATTTGGGATCTAGGACTTCCAAATTTAATACTTTTATTCTTAATACTTTTTCCCAAAAAATTAGGCTCTAGAAAAATAATATAAATCCTAATTTTTTAAGAATTCGACCAAAAGTAGATATGTTATAATTAGAAAACGAGCAACTAATAAATATATTTATAATTTTACAAAGAATTAAAAGCACAATGCCATATCAGATGGCTGAAAGCTCAAAATCAGAAGATCTTTTCTAAATCTTCTTTTTCATAAATATGCATTCATAATGTAGATTAAATCATTTAAAATAACACCAATAATAGCAACAATAGGTCCTAATTTTTCAAAATATTAAAAAAAATATATATAGCTATGTATTACTTAACTATTAAAAATTTTAAAGCTTTTAAATTTGGTCTATAATTTTCTTCTGTAATTATTTTCAATTATACTTACTAAAAGTCAAAGAACTATTTGAGCTTTTGATGACAAAGCTATATAATGCAATGCTGTTTGAACAACTCAATTCCTTATAATTTAATTTTTAATAATTTATGTATGCAATTATTTCTATCATCTCATCTTTCTATAAAAATCTAGATACATTACATTCTCTAGATACTATAATAAAACTTAACTGGATGTAAAGGTTAACTTTAAACTCTTTCTGCAGAGTGATTCAATTGTTGATCAAAATAAAACCCCTGGACCTCCTAGTGGCATGGCAAGCATGATGGATGAAATGGCAAAAACACTGGCACGAAGGTAAATTAAATCTATTAAATTTTATCTAAATTATTATTTGGAATAATAAACAGTGTTATGTAACCACTGCACTTTCACAAATATAATGATAGAATAACATTAGAATTTCAAGTTAATATTTTAGTGAAGAAGAAACAAAATCGAAATTAATTAGACTCACTAATGAAACTACTCTCTATTTCTCCTGGCTGTCTATCACTTTTTGATGTTCTTAAGTCTCGCCTTCGTTTGTAGTGGTTAGATTTCTATTGCTTTTTCGTTTTTTCAACTTCTATTGCGTATATTCCTGATTTTTATACTCTTCAGTTTTGATTGTGATTTTAAAAATATATAATAAAATTGTTGATAATTGAATAACTATTATGCACTTGTTGAGAACAATGTGTCTTCAGCAGCTGCATTTCTTATATTTAATATACATTTTTATAATCCTATATAAGGACCTCAAATATTCGAGAAGGTGTGAAAAGTGATTTGACAAAACACGGTGTACTAATTGTCATTTTATACTCTTTTTTCTTTCTAAATTTTTTTGTTGTGTAATTGCCTGTTTTGAATTATTTTGCTCTTAGAACATTATTTGTTTGCAATTTACTTAGTGATAATCATTGTTACTTCCTTTACATTTTATCACTAAATATTTTTATAGTTATTTAAGTATAGTAATATATAAAGGAAAGAGAGCATTTAAATTTTTCAAATAAAAGTACATTAAAATTATGCTGTTAATATTCTTTCCTGCCTGCATGCTTTAAATTCCATGTGATACTTTTAACAATACAGACTAAATTTTGAGTTTAAATTCTATTAAAGATTAATTTATTTTGTTGGTAATTGAGTTTTGTTAATGCTATACATTATGACAGTCACGTTTTATACTTCTATTTTATTTTATAGGCGAGCTCAAGCAGAAAATTACCAAGGCAATGTAAGTTCTACAATTTGAACAATTGTTATTTCATTGTATTGATAAAAATGAGAATTTTTCTAATAAATTCGTAATTTCATTTTTAGGATTCCGATGGCACTGATAAAAAATGGGATAAAAATTCAAATGGCAATGGTGTGAACTCTGGATTAGAATCACCTAAGGGTAGTCGCAGGTATGAACAATGCTATAATAATAAATTTATCTAATATTGAAAGTTATTTATATTCAATGTATTGAAACGTATGTTTTCATCATGTTAAAAAATATACAAATACCTACCTCAAGGACTTAGGAAGCAAATCATCTAATTTATGCATGTATGATTTGTGAAGATTCTGAGTATTATATTTAAAGCCAGTCTAACGATACATTGCCCAAGAATCTGCATTGATTATTAATTTAGTTGCAATGAAATTTAAAAAGTCAGTTAATGGGATAATTATACAAAATATCTATCACTTTTTTTTTAAAAGTAGAAACTCATCTGTGAGTAAAATAATATGATATAAATCTCTCTATATAGATATTATGATTTTAAAGGTAAGTCATCTTTAAAATGGCAGCTGCATTTATATTAAAGAAATCCAATTCTTTCATAATCTATTAGGTATTCATGAAGTCTTTATTAGTTATAGGCACTTGTTAAAAATTTTTTTGTACCTGTTAAGTACTGCTAGCAAGACCTACGATTAAGGTGTTTTAAAAGTTTAGCATGGTATGAGAAAAATGCTAGGAACAATTTGTATCTACATCTCCAGGGTGCATAGCATCTTTAAAAAGTGCTTAAAGGTGCTTATTTTCAATTTTCGTTTTTTAAAAGCCTTGAAGTTGCTTTTTTTATTAAATGTTTTTAAAAAGTGCTTTATTTTCCTTTTTCCAAAATGAGATATTTTTTCCTTACCTTGTTGATTTTTGCCATGAATTATCCAAAAGACTTTGTTCTAATTTAATTCAACCCTAATCTATTTCGGCATGCCATTTTTCCTTAGCGTATGAAAACGCCAATCATTTTACATGTTTGATTAAATACTTGCGAGTCAGCATGTGCGTATACTGAGCTTAATTTATTGGCAAGAGATTCTCAATTTCAGGCTTCATTTTCAGCCCTCTGAAATCGAACCGAAAAATCTCTCGAGTTTTCGCTGATGGCCAACTGAACACTGTCAAAAAAAAATTTCCTTCTAGAGATAGAAAATTTTATTTCTCTTGTTAATTCATAGTTGGTGGTGTGCCATCGTCTTCGGCACTGGCAAGCTAATCGGATTCTCGAGAAATTCTATTTATGGATCAGTACCATAATCTTTAACTTGCCTTGAGGATCATTCACTAAATAGGTATTTTCATGTGGGTCTCTAGAGCAGTCAAGAATCCAAAAGCTTCATCGCCTCAAAATTTCGACCACCCTTTTATTCATAAAATTTGAGAATTTTGAGGATAATGTTTTTACTTGAGGGACCGTCCACCAATTGTATAAAATAAATTTTAACTTTTGTACTTTATTACCTTTTTTTTCTTATTACTTTTTTATTAATTATATTATTATAAAAATTTTCAGTATTTTAAGTTGTTTTATGAGCTAACTTAATAATATTTAGGGCCAAGATTTTAAAAAAGTATGAAATGAAAGGCTTTTAATATTTTAAATGCAGCAAAAAATCTTATGTTTGTGTTATTTTATTATGTTATAATAGTTTAGTAGGTCAACATTCTAGTCTATACAGCTGAGCATCATTCAAAAGAAACATTTTAAAATTTCTGTCTTATTCATACAAAATTGGAAAATAAACTCAGAGTACTGAGGGCTTCAAAACTATTTTTTTGTAATCACTTGCTTTGGGGAAAAGAAGAGCTAAATTGGTAAGAAATGAAAACTGGTTTTGCATATAAAGGATGAGATGATATTGTTTTTTTTTTTAATAAGATAATTGTTTCTGTATTTTTATTTTTTATGATTAAACAAATTAAGGGAATAGATAAATTGTAATTTGAAGCATTTTTATTTATAATTATTTAATATTTGCTACACCAAAATTTGAGTTTCTGACAGTAACTCTTTTAAACATTAATATCTTACACGATTTTCATTGAATTTTTTTCACTTTTTAAAATAATATTTTTGTTATTAATTAAAAATTATTCAAAAATTTTGTTTAATTACATTGAATATTTTGAATGAAACAAATAGTTTTTTTATAAGCAAATAGGTTATAGTTTTTCAAAACAAATAGTTTTTTATAAAAATCTCAAGAATTATATTTAAAATAGGTTTACAAAATTTTATTTGCAGTTATTCCAAGCAATAACCAAATTAATTGATAGAAGTTACAAGTTTTTTGCTGTATTTTCTGTGATAGATAGTTCAAAAACACTCTTTTTTGTTTGAAATTTTATGCCGGTCTTTCAAACCTATGAAAGCTTTAAATTTTATTGATAAGTTTGAGAAACCGCATAATCTAAACTCCTCGTTATAAAATAATTCTCTTAGTATTTCTGAGAAATTTGAAAAAGTGTCAAAAACTGAAAGTGTCTCTTTTATTGTAGTGTGGTGTGCATACTAATGTGGTTTCTATTTTTAGACAAAGGATAGGTTCTATTGGAGATATGGATAATTTAAAAGCCAATGGTGTTGAGCCTTATGACATGGAAAGAATCAAGCAAGAAATAATGTTGGAAATAAGAATGGAAATGAATAAACTGAAACAAGATATTATTGAAAGTATGATATTTAATTTTATTTTAATTGCTAATTTGTTTTTAAAAAAATATGCAATGTTGAGGGTTAGTGATTAATTCTGAAAGAAAAAATTTTAACAATTTGTAAAGATAAATTAATTGGAATGTTTTCTTTTCGTTAAATTCTTTAGTACAACAGATTTGCCTAAATTTTTATTGTTAATCCTAATTTTGCTTTATTTGTTCTTGTTTATGCTTGAAAGAAAAAGCTTTGATAATTTAGCGGTAAAATGCAGAGCATGTTTTTACCCCTCTCACCAAACATGTGCACTTTTTTAGTCCATATTATTTGTGAAAATGTTAAAATGCCACATTTCTGTACATATATCCAAAGTGTGAATGTCAGGCTGTTTCAGCTAGTTTTGTAGAGGTTCATAACTCGTATGCACCACTTCTAGGCTATTGATGGCAAGCAAACCAAACACATAATTGCATAAACTAATTAAAACTAATTTTTTAAAAACTTTCAAGAATTTTATTTTATATAACGCATTAAGTGCCACTCTGTTATTTAGTTTTCTTGTTGTATTTAGTTTTAATTTCATCAGTTTTGTGTTTGCATATATTTATTTAATAATTGTTTCATTGAGCTTTATAAATGAGTACATGTTAATTAAGTTTGAAATAAATTAATACATTTAGATTCTATTTTATATTAGGAGTTTTGCTTATTATTGCTTGATTATTAATCATTTCTGTTTATTTAAACTGATTTCACCAATTTAAATAGATACATCAAATTTAAAGATTATTTAATTAAAAGATCACATAGATTTAGTTTCCAATTTTATTGAGATTAAAAGTAAACCTAATATGTTTGCTTAATTTCAATTGCAACTTTATCCACAAACTCTTGTTTGAAAGTCTTCTTCAAATTTTAGTAACATAGTTTAACTAAAGAAACACAGTTTAACTAAAGTACGCAAGTTATTTATTGATATTGCTTTGGAATTTTAGTTTTTCTTATTCCAGGGTTCCCACGGTCCTTGAGAGTCCTTGAAAGTCCTTGAATTTTTTTGTTGCTAAATTTAGGTCCTTGAAAGTGCTTGAAAAACGTCTTAGGTCCTTGAAAAACTTGATAGTTCCTTGAATTTGTCCAATACTGCCGCGGCCCTTTTTATAAAACACCTGCGGATCTTTCTCGTTCTTTCTGTTTTGTTCCCGAGCTCTCTCACGTGGTTTTTAACGCCACCGTTTCTAACCGGGCCTAGCGTCTTGGTGTCTGCCAAGCGCGCGGAGCACAGCAGACAATCAATGCGTTCGGGGCGAGACTCCACTTCATCTTCTGTCACATATGCTTAGATCTTCTTTTTTCTTATCGAAACTGGAATACTCTCGAATTTCGTAACAATATGTACCTTGTAGTTTTCAATAAATTTGCCGTTTTACCATCCGCACTTGTCCTTACGTTTGCGTCATTTCAAAACTTTATTGTAAAGCGTATTCGCAAAGGCACGGCTTCGTATTTGTGTTATGTAGTTTAGACTAGTTATGCCTGGGAAGTGCTATTTTAATCCCCAATGGATGGATAATCAAGCTTATAAAGAATGGATTTTATCGATGCCCGAAAAGAAGTTCAGAGCCAAGTGCCGATTATGCATGAAGGAGATCGATATCGCGAAAATGGAAGAATCTGCTCTGAAATCACACATGAAAGAAAGGTAAAACAAAAAAGCAGTCTCATGCCCTGAGTTCTCTTTTTCCAAAGACATCAACATCTAATTCATCTGGTGTAAATACTCCTTCAACATCGTGTGCCCCATGTGAAACAGAAACTTTAGTGGCCGAGGTAACATTGTCTTCTTATCTGGTCAAAAGGAATGTGCTTGATGCTGAAATTCTCTGGAGTCTGAAGTGCATCACTAGTAATTATTCATGTAACTCCTGTGAAGGGATTAGTAAATTGTTCTCCAAAATGTTTGCTGATAGCTGTATAGCGAGACAATTTTTTTGTAGTGCCACAAAGTGAGCCTATTTGGGCTCCTTTGGATTGGCACTATACTTCAAAGGGATTCTTATAAATGAGCTGAAGAATGTTGATTGCTACACTGTACTCTTTGATGAGACGTTAAATCAGTCTCTACAATCTAAGCAGATGGACATTATGGTAAGGAATTGATAATAAAGTTTGCACTAAGTATCTTACCTCCCAATTTATGGGTCATGGAACTGCAGAAAATATTTTGTCCTCTTTTTACAAATGCATGGATGATGGTTAAAAGCTCTCTAAAATACTTCAATTATCCATGGATGGACCCTATGTCAATTGGAAATTCTATTAGAAGCTTCAGTGTGAATTAAAAGAGAAATATTCCCACCAGGTCATATTCATTGGCAGTTGTGGATTACACATAACGAATAATGCTTTTAAACATGGTGAAAATGGGATATGTTCCTTCTAATTTTTATTTTCAGAAAGAATTGTTGCTGCATAACATTTAGAGAAGGTTGTGTAAATTATGGATGAATAATTTCAGAAACGATGTTTAATAGAGGAGAGGAGGGGGTTATGGAATAGTCATGGAATATGGAATACCTAAGATTTAGCTCTGTCTTTCATGCAGCCTTCACATGGAAATACACAGGATTAAAGGATTTCACCATTAACACCTCATTACCATTAGTTATAGATTGTGCTGAAAATGATTTTGTGAATTAATATGTAAAACCAGTAGGGTTGTTTTTAAAAAAATATAAATTTTAGTCCATAATACATATACTCTCTTCTCTCTATATAGGCAAAGCATTTAGGTATTATATTTGAAATTAATTATTGCCACAACAAGCATTGTTGCTTCTAGTAAAATAGAAGAGAATAATTTTTAAAATTGGTCTTAGATTAAGGTCCTTGAAATTTTTGTTGAGGTCCTTGAAAAGTCCTGGAAAGTCCTTGAATTTCAATCTCATCATAGAGTGGGAACCCTGTATTCCTTATTTTAATTGCATAAATAAACTGAACATAGTTTCAAATATAATTAATTAACTTATTGTGACTAAATAACTTTTTCATGTGATGTTGCATAATTAGATAGTGTTAAGAAATTACTTTAAATTAGCACACATTAATTTTAAATAATAATCAGTATCTAAAATAAAATTATTGCAGAGAATAATATTAAGAAGATATTTATAAAAATTGGATGTATTTCTAAATATTGCTAGTATATTAAATACACCTTTAAATAAGAGATAAAATAATTTACAGGCTAACACAATTATAATTTTTTGCTAATTATAACCAAAGATGTCTATGTATGCATATCAAAGCGTCATATCATATAATTTATCTGTACAAAAAGAATGCATGAAGCAAGAAGACAACACCGTCAACAGGCTTTTATATAAAATTAAGATTTTCTAAAATCAACGCTTCTGTGGTGCGGTCGCTTAAGGCACCACTCACATCCTTGGAGGAGAGCTGGGGAACATGAATTCGATCCTTACAACTGGCATAAATACACAGCCATGTGCACGTTAAATCTGTCATGACTGTAGGTTTTCTTGTTGGATGTGGTCTGGTCAGTTTTGCAAGAAGAGTAGCAAGTTAGGCACTGTCCATGTAGTCTGAAAATGATGCAGCCCTTATAAATGAGGCTATTTGCTTGGCCATGGTTAGGTGATGTGTTTTGTTTCTAATTTGATGTTTTTACAATTTTAATTATTGTTAACTAAATTTATGTATTTGTTTTTGCTAAAATATGTTTTCTTTTAAATCTAGCCATAAGGAGTGAGCTAAATCGTAGGTAATGCCTCAGAGAGGAAGAAGTCTTTTATATGCAAAGCATTTGCAGAATGTACTGGTGTATAGAAGTTTGCATATTTGCCTTTCATAATGAGTTTCATACTGTACATAAGTGTGCGACTACTTTTGCCTTCTGAAAACTTTTATGTGAACTTTTTTCATGAATAAATTGTTCCCGTTTGTACTTTTTCTATAGACAAAACGGTTTTTTAGAACTTTGCTTTGGTTATTCTATTATTTTTTTTTTAAACATTCTTGTTGAGGACAAGCTAATGGTGTGCTTGAAACTTAATTCTATACTAAGTCAAAGTTTATAGTAAGATGTTGAAATCGTAGGGTCTATTTGTTTCCAATATTTTGAAGGTAAAAAGCACTCTTGTAAATAAATCTTTTTCACTGAACTTAAAAGTAGATTTTTTTTAATAAACATATTATTGGTGCTGTTAAATTTTATATCATAGATTGGTTCTCTTAGATCTTTTTAATAGTAAAAAAATAATTTAAAATGAAAACTTATAGTAATTAGTACTGTCGTGATACTGCAATTATAAATCAAACTGACGACATCTTCTTATTCATTAAATTTAATAAATACCAAACAAATTCATTTTCTTCCACTCTTCAAATCGTTTTATAGTATGATTAATAAAGCATGGATGTTAATGACATGACATTAAATAGATCTTAGTAACAAATATCAAATTTAATTAAATCAGAATTAAAAATAATTAATTAAATCAGATAGTTTAGTTAATACAAATAATGAATGTGGTAAATTTATCATAGCTTTAGATAACGAATGTGGGTAAAAAATATATGGATGTGCAAAATTAAAGTCAATTTCAGAAAAAAAAAATTAAAAAAAAAAGTTTTTATTGCCATTTTTATCCATGCTGATTGATGTTCTAATATGCCGCTTCTTTGTAATCTAATTAATTAATACTAATTAATAATAATTAAATTTTTATTGTAGAATAATAATGATAGCAATGAATGCTGGTTGTTTGGTGTTAAAATACTTGAAAGCAACGAAACTGACTGCTATTTCTTATCAAAATGTTTATTTTAGTACTCTACTGAAAAATGTTTTATATTTTAATCTATTAATGTACGTTTGACTTAGCATAAAGTCAAGTTTCCATTTTACCTGTTTAAAATTTTTCTAAAATAAGATCAGTGCCTTTGGCACAGACTTTTAGATGCTCTTCCAATAAGAATAATTGCATCGGTATTGCTAATAATAAGTGTGTGTTTATAAAATAAGCATTTTTTGTATTATGTATTGATATTCTCTTTGTTCAATAATAATAAAATAAAGTGCGGGTGATGTTCTTTTTTGAGTCAATTCTAATGACTAGTGTTACATGCTTGCTTTTTGTCTTGACACTGATTGTAATGTATCGGTTTTTTATTATCAGTGTAAAAGGTCAAAATAAGTTCCTCTTATAACATACATAAAATTCTTTATAAATTAGTATGTTAGTAAACATTAATTTAGGCATTTTTAATTTTTTATGCATTTTGTTCTTGCATTTTATTTATTTTTGTGTATTTTTGAAAAATTTTTAGTTTTTATTTAAAGCAAAATCTCAATTTCCAAAATAATAAGTTTTGGTAATAATATTATAAGTATAAATAAATAATATTTTCTAGTTTATTGAGTTTCTAACTAGTTATGTGGGCTAGTACTGGCAATTTATTTTTGTTCAGTGCTAATAATTAAACTATAAATTTAAAGTATCTTTTCTATCTTGCATTTACCTTACTTTAATACTAACTTCATTTTGTTAAAATTTGTTATCAAAATATACCCTAAGTTTTCTAGAATTTCCGTTTAAAATAGAATTTATTTTTGTTGATAAAAATTATGGAAAATTTTTTTCAATACTTTTTTAAAAATGCTGGACATTTTAGAATTATTATTATTATTATTTTTTTTGTCTTTTTTTTAGAAAGTGTAAATATCTTTTTGGGTTGCATTTTGAGTGAAGTGTTGCTTACTTAAAGTTTAACAACTTGATAATATGCATTTGTTATAGATATTAATACTGTGTATTCATAAAATATATTAATCTATCATGTGAATGAAAATGCTATGAGTGTCACTTATTATTTGAATATGATACTTGATGTGTGGCCATATTTCTCATCAAAAGTTCTAGAATTAGATCAAATTTATTAAACCAGAATTAATAACTAAAAAATTTTTTTAGCCTAGTAAAAAATGTTTTGTGATTCAACAAACAAAAATTATCACAAGCGTGTGCCTATTTTTTTAAAAAAGAATGTTAATTTAATTTTAAAGTTTATTAATTCAGTTTGCTGCATTTGGATATGGGATTTAAAATGTTATGTGAATTGAATATTAAAATTCAGATTGCTAAAGTGTTTGTAAATGTGCTGCTATTATTAAGATGTCAGTCCATAAGTGTAAATACTTTTATTATATGATATCCATGTGTATTAAATGTTTAAATGTGAATTTCAAAAAGTAAATATCAGATGGTGATAATAAAAAAAAAAATTGCGGTTACATATTTAAAAATTATCTATACATAACTACTTCAAAATTAACTTGTTTTACTGATGTTTATTAAGAATTCTTGAATTTTACTAACTAAGATAGTAATTTTTTAGTATTGCTTCATATTATAATAATTTTTACCAAAAGTAGTAAATATTTTCATGAATGTAATAAAACCTGTGTTTTTAAATTAAATTAAAATAATTAACTTTTGAAATGAATAATGGCATTTTGAATTTTTTGGCAAATATAATTTTTTCTTTAAAATATTATTTTTTTTTGTTCAATATTTAGTTTACTAATAATACTTATATTATAAATTTAATATTCAAAGTAGTTCTTTGGTTTTCCTAAAAGTTAATTGTACAATATTTATTGTTTCAGTAACATATATTTTAAATGGTAATAATCTGTGTGTAATTATTCCCAAAATTGTAATTGCACAGTAACTGATATCTACACCATTCATGTAAATAGGTATTCATAAAAACTCCATTAAGTTCCTTTTTTTTTTCTCTGAAATTCCAAAGACTTATAATGTCTACATTTCATGATTTAAATGTTTGCTTATTTGCAATAATTCAGAGTTTATGAGAAAACAAGGCTTTCTCTTGCCATTGTATATATTAAATTGTTAATCATATTGTAATCCTTTTGGCATTAAAATGTGGTAAAGTTCAGAAATACCAAATTCAGCAGATATTATCTAAATCGTCCTCAAAGTTATCTTATTAATTTTAAAAATAATACTTGTATATTACATAAATTTAAGATTTACATTAATGATGACACATCTTATTTTGTAAAAGAAGCAAATACATTTGTTTATTTTTAATATTGGTATCAGATAATAATCATTTTTATATAAACTAATGGTGCAAAGGCCCGAACTGTCATATATGCTAGTGTGCTATAAGAAATATCATAAGAGGGGACAATAGTCCCAAGTCTTGACATTGTAAAAAGGTGTAAAAAAAATTGCACGTCTTTTAGTGAAGGAATATAGAATAATTGGAGCAAACTTTGCTAGTGTATATACTTTAAATTAAAATAACCTAAATGAAATATAGTGTGTTGGCCAAAAAAGATTCAATTTTTAAATTTCAAACTACTTCATCGGTGTTATAAAGATTTTCTTTCTGAACCATTTGATGAATATTGCATTAACAGCATTTAAAAATAAATTTTAAAAGTGGTTAAATATTATAATGCATTCAAAACTGTGTAATTGCAATTAAAGAGAAATAAATCTTCCTCTAAAGTCTTTAGAGTAAATTTTTAAAGTTAAAAATTTAAAAGATCTTTTCACCAGTTATTTATTTCTTGTTAAAAATTACTTAAACATTTATTTCTTTAGTTTATTAATCTCAGTCAAAATAATTTATCCTTAAAAGAATAGTGTTTTTTCTTCTAAATTTTCCTCCCATTAACACACAAACATTTGTGTTTACTGATTCAATCTTACTCTGTGTTTGTTATTTTCTGGCTGTTTTCTTTTTCAAATATTAAAGTGTCTGAATCTAACATCAGCTCCGTTTTCACTTAGCATAATAATAATGTTCCCTTTTATAAATTTAACCTTAATAATGTATCCTTTAACTTGTCTCCCTTTGTAATTCTCAAATATTTTTAATGGCCTTCTTTCATATCATCAACAAATAGCGTTTATAAGTGGGAAAAAAAAATTTCAATAAACTTTTTAAACCTGTCTGTTTTTATTCCTTAAGTAAAAAAAATGCTTTAATTATCTTTTAATAGTTATTTTTTAATATATTGAAGAATCGTAACATTCTTAAAAAGACAATATATGATTTGTCATATTGCTCACTTTTATTGTGTTATGTTATGCTTTTAGCAGTATTTTTGTTCGTTAATTTTTCTACTTTTATATTTAAATATATTTTTAAAAAATGTGGTTCTAGTCAGTGTAAAAAAAAAAAAATGAAATTGTAATTGTTCATTTTTATTGTTAATTTATCGTATTACTACTTCGAAAAGAGAAGCAGAATGAGATTATTGAAATATGTAGAAGTAGTTGTGCATTAATCTTTAACTATGCAAAATCATATCATTCATTATGCAAAGAGTGTAGACAAAACGAATAGAGTTGTCAAAGCTCAATACTGATAGTGCATAATGTTATTTGAACTGTGTCCTGTCTTTCGGAAAGCTCCTATTTATAGAGTGAAAATGTTTAATGTCTGTGTATAGTTTTCAGTTTTTTCACTTTGGTGTAAAATTAAAAAGTATTACCAATGCAAAATAAAGACTGATTATGCAAATATTTCTCTCCTTATTTATTATTCAGCATTGATATTAACTAAAAAAGTGCGTCTAGTCACATGATCTAGTGCGAAACCACCACAACAGGAATTTTGCGCTACCTGAATACTTGACCAAAAGCACTTGTTTGAAAGATAGAACTAGTTTAGTTTATTTTCTACTGGGGGATACAACGTTGAATCGGTTAAAAAAATTACTCATATTGAGAAACCCAAATATACAATCACAAATCCAGACATACAAAAAAAGAGAAAAATAATGATGAATTTTTAAGCATTTCTTGCTTTTGAATTTTATCAATGGTAACACTTAATCAAATTTTCATTAAAGAAAAATATTTTTAATAAAGTAGTAGAAGAGAGAAAAGTTTTATTCAGGTTATTCAATAATGACCCCTTTATGTACATTTTCAGCTTTGTCTAAAAAGAAACGAAGGAACAAATGTACATATTAAGGATTGCAATTTCAATATTTAGACTGAAATAAAGGGCTATCGAATTCTGGCATATCACTACTAGTACAGTAAATATTAAGTGCCCTCCTTTTAGTAAGTAATAAAAAGTTGCCAGATGCACTTCGAATTTTGGTGGGAGAGGAAGAACTTAAGCCGTCGTAAACATGATGTTTCCAAAATAGTTTTTTAAGCTCGAAAAAATGAAACCTCCAAATTAATAGTACGATTGACTCGTGTATGATCTCATTCGCTTCGTGCAAAATTACAAAGGAAAAATTCTAGATAATTACAAAGAAATAAGTCTAGAGAGCAATGTCTGATTCGTAAATATGTACAAGTCTGCTTGTGTATAAAACGAAATTTTTATAGCTACTGAACTGTTAGTCCTGTTTGTTTCTAATGCCACTTGCCAAATACCAGAAAGTCTGCTTGATGAAACCAAGTGAATTTATGGCAGAGAGTGCGTTCCTTGTTTTTTTAGTGGCGCCATCCATGGCCAAGAATACAATTTCAGCCACACATACGTCACAGTCCGTTTATAGGGCGAACCCATTCATTCACACACAAATCGTAATTTTGACCTGAACCAGAGAACGATCGAAGTTCAATTCAATATCCCCAGAGGTATTTATTTGTTAAGGAAGAGGCATGGGTAGACTGGCACTGGGCCCATGTCCAAGAGTTCGTGGGTTCGATCCCCGCCGGCGGAAGACTCCCCGTGTAGTAAATGGTAACTGATGCACATTAAACCTGTCGTGTCGCAAAGTCCTCCATGTTCCCATAACAAATCAATACCTCTTGGGGGTACTGATCCAGGAGTTTCCTTGTCTTCTGGATTGGATCAAAATTACAAGGCTTCGGAGTTGAACATTAGTAGTCGTAAACCCAAAATTGGGTCGGCTGTTCAACGACGGATATAATATAATAATATTTGTTATGGGAATATGAAGGACATGGTGACTCGGCAAATTTAACGCGCACCAGTCACCATTTCAGGGTTCGTAGCGTTTTTTAAAGGTGCTTTTTTTCATTGTGTGTTTTTAAAAATGAGATTTTTCCTTTACTATGTTGATTTTCGCTTCGAATTATGCAAAAGCGTGCTTTTCACATGGTTCTAAACAACGTTTTCGCATTTAATTCAACCCCAATCTATTTCGGCATATTGTCTGTCAGCCCGTAGCGTATGAAAACTTCATTCGTTTTACATGATTCAAAATTTCATGATTTTTGACAATTGCCAAAAATAATGCCAAAAGTTTTTTTTTTCGACATGATCGTTTAAAACAAGATAAAACCGTCAATTGTCAAAAACTTTTCAACCCTGCCTAGCTATGATATTTCTTTAAAGTGCTTAAAAATATTTTTTGAGTATTTAAAAGGTACTTATTTTTTGGTGAATAATTTGGCTACGCTCCCTGCATTTACAACGTAGTTACTCTTTGGCCGGCGGGGATCGAACTCGCTTCCTCTTGCATCTGTTTTTTTCTAATTGATTCATTCCACAATTTAGAAAAAAGCAGATGCTAAAGGAAGTGAGTTCGTCAATTCAATCCAGTATTGTGCATAGGTATGCATTTACTAGGAATAATATACTTATCAATTATTCAATATCTATTTTAAAACTAAAGGTAAAAGGTATCTTTATGTCGTCTTGAACCTAACTCTTGTGACATCAGCGATGATTATCTCTAATATTGTTGTTTTAAAAGTCACTAAAATGAATATAAAGATAATTAACATGAAGAGATGTCGAATACGTAGTTAATTTTAAAATTACATTTTTAACTACCTAACCACATGTAATTCCCAGAACTATTCGACCAATTATTTAAAACTATAAATTTTTCTCTTTATGTTACCACGTAGATTTTTTCCCGATAATATAGTCTATTTTGTTTAATTTTTATTATTACTTAAAGTTTTTCTTTAATTCAACACTCGTTTCAAATAATTTTCAATTTTTTCCCCCGCGTCTCAGAACGAAACCCAGTCCGATGTAAAGAATTTAAGAACATTTTCTGTACTAAAATTATTCGGTGCAAAACATCTGACTGATTGTATTAAATAAGTGCACCCTTTTTCTCAAAGAATGGACAAAAAATTTATTTATTTACTTTATTGTTTCTTATTTCTTTGATTTGTGAAAAGTAAATACATATTAGTGAAACTCAAAACAGTTTGCTTTGCTCTAAGGGGACAATGGACGTTCAAAACCAAAAATTTTAATTTTCCTCCTAGCCATCTGAAATTTTTATTGAATGTTTGTAAGCTCAATAGAAGCCTGTGTATAATTTTTTTTAAGAATATGCTAATTATTTTTCAAGTTACAGCGAAAAGTATATTTTTAATTAACGATAAATTAGCAATACGTAAAAAGTCCCTTGCGCATCAGTTTTGCTTTTTTCAAAATTATTTTTGTACAAAAAATGAGGTAATAAGTACTTTTATGTATTTAACTTGTTTCAGATACAATATAGAGCAATAATGTGTATCAAAAGATTTTTTACACATCGCTCTTAAATTTTCATCAAAAAATTGCTATTCATAAACTTTTGTTTAAATATTAGCAACACAAATTTTTGTGCAATGCTAACTAATTGCAGTTCTATCTTTAGAACAGACATCAAACAATACCTGAAGAAAATTTCAAAGCAATGGAGCAAAAATTGATGCGCAAGGAACTTTTCGAAGATAGAAAATCGTTCAAAAATCTTATTCTGAGAAAAATCAATATTTTTCAATGCAAATGATTTACAACATACAAATTTAAATTCTTATAACTCGTTAACAAAAGATCCAATTTGAATTCTGTTTGCTGTATATTATTCAGGTGAATATTTTAATATCACAAAAAGCAAAACCCAAAATTTAAAGGATTTTTCGTATTTTGAACGTCCATTGTCCCCATATGCGAACCGCAATTTTATTTTGACGTTTAAGCTTAAATATTACACTGTTAACTTTAAGAAAGCGGCTCATAAAAAAAAATGCAGAAAAATATTTTTTTTTTTTTTTGCTAAAATTATTTTTCAAATTTAGCACAATTTACAAGATATCATAGTATAATTTATTATCAGGAAAAGGTCATATTTTTTTAAACAGCAAATACTAAACTCTGAAATTTGTAAAAAGATCCCGAAGCCTTGCTATTTTTCGAAGCATCATCTATGTTGAAATATGTAATAAAAAATACGCAATTTTTGAAAGTATTTTGAATTTAAAAAAATACGCAGTGAGAGGGTTAACATACTTTTTACAGAAACTTAATGTAAATTTTTCCTACATTTCATCATAAAAGGATTAAAATGATATTTCTCCAATGAACTCAATAACTTCGTTCTTTCCAAAATTTTAAATCTGCTCCGTTAATAATTAGCAGAAAACTGTCAATTAAATTATATTTTTTTAAAGTTAATCTAGTATAAAGATAGACCAAGAATATATATACGGCCAAGGTCCAATATTCCAATTAAGCAGTACCCGGGAGCACAACCCTTATCCCTGAGGACTTATTCCCTTATATCACTATGTCCAGTCTCACACGCGTCTGAAAATAAACCGATAACCATGGCAACGTGCCAAATCCGAAAGTAGAAAAATGAGCATGCGTCTTACACTGAATAGGATTTTCGTATTTGGCTCAAAATCGCTTTAAGATTCTTCAACACCTACTTCAACTTTTATTTTTTCTGTAAGTGATAACTTCTTCTAAGACCATCATTTACAATGACCTTATTTAATGTCACTCAGCATGTAGCATCATATTTCTTTGTGGAATTTACTTTGAAATAATATTCATTTTTTGCTTTATTGCGCAAGCAGGGCCGTGGAAAGTTATAATTAAAAAGAGACTTGGGTTGGATTTAAAAAGACTTTGCTCCATTTCAATCCTGGTAATTATATAAAATAATAAATAAACAATAAAATAAATATCATTAAAAAGTAGTTTCTTAAGAATTGTAGGTCCGAGTGGTCCATATATGCCCCTCTATTTCCTGCTTTTATACTATGTACGGTGTGTTTCAAAATAACTTTGTCAAACTTCAAAGGTATAATTAGACCACTATACTGCTGTGCGAAAGAAAAATCAACCTAAACGACAAAAAATTCAAAATTGAGATTTTTATGTATTTGGCAGTTTGTATAAAAAAGCTACTTATTTCAAAAGATTTTTTTTTTCAAAGTTAAATTTTGTGTTATCATTTTTTTGAAATTCTATTTTAGCATTCACATAATTTGAGAATAAACATTTATTTATAAAGTAAATAAACCTCTGGGCATTAAAAAACATAAGCGCGGCCGGTGTTTTGGGATCTTTCATTTTGTTCTTGTTGAGTAAAAACCGTGACTTAGAATCTTAAAATTATACGAAGATGCTTAAAAAATGTGCATGGAATACGATGGGAAAAAAAAACACTCAATAATTAATCCGAGAGTTATTCACTGTTGAGTTTGCAGTAAAAAGTGTCACGTGGACTACTCCGCAGTCCAATTACAGAGTTAAAACTTAACGTGCTGAAAGAACAATTTTCACTAACTTAACGCGATTTTTTTATTATTTTTTCGAAATTCCAATTTGTTTGAAAAAAGTTATTGCACTATTTAATTGTTTTTCCCCGCTGATTTATTTTCAATTTTTTTAAAAAAAATAATGACTATTTATCCATTGTTGTGGAAAATAATTTTCTCTCTCGAGATCTTCATTTTATAAACTCCCGCTTGACTTAAAGTCAGAAGTAGCAATAAAATGAATATATATATATAAAAAAGAGTGCGAGAGTTGCATGTTGCCTGATAAAAATCTAAACATTTGCATCAAAATTTGAAAAAATATAAAAGGCTTAAGAAAAAAAAACTGTTTCCAATTTGAACGGTACCGTTATATATTGTTAGCAAGGAAAATTTCTCATTTATTACTTCTTATCATGTCGCCCATACTGTTAAACTAGATTTAAATTTTTTTTTTTTTTTTGAAGTAAGTACATTTGATTATTTTTCAAATATAGGTATCCATTTAGGTTCATTATCAAATGTAGGTAATATTAAATTTAAATCTAGTAACTTCAAATCTAGCGAAGACATTAAATAAATAATCTCGAGAAACTGAAGCGATAAGAATATTACCAGAGTAAAAATTTCCTTTGCTTTAAATGTTGGTTTCCCTGCTAACCAACTGATTCAAAGGAGAAACTACTTCTACAGGAACGCTTATGTTGAAATTCTGATACAATAATTACACGACCACTAAATAACTTAATTTCTTTAACTCCGCTTCACTTCCTTAAAAAAAATTATGAAACGGAAATATGTTTTGTAAATTAGATATTTAATTCGTTTTAATTAAATTTTCTTACTTAAAACCAAAGTTTAAACTGCATACTTTTTTTAAAAATTTGTGTCATTTCTCATGAAAGATATCTTTCATGAAAAATTTTATTCCATTTTTTAATCGATATTTTGATACAAATTTCACTTATAATTCCAATATTTCTGCATTTAATAATGAAGTGAATTGTATGTCATTCTAATTTATAGTTACCAACTTTTATATTCCTTTCGGAAGATTTTTGCGGATCGATTAATATTCGGAAGATTAATATTTAAGTTTTAATACAATATATTCGAATTAAAAGGATTTTATCAAACAAGCATACTTGATATGATAGATGTACCTGGCTAGTGAGGAAGGTAAAATAAAATTTAAAAAAAAAATTAAAATCAGTTTGATTGTCTGTTGATATTTGCAATATACTTAACAATTTTCGCCTTTGTTTCCACCGAAAAACAAGCAGGTTCCTACCGTCTTCCTTAGTAGTATTTTTTTTTTTTGCTTAAATATTATTCATTATCCTTAATGAATTCATTTTTTGACAAAGCCTCTGATAATATATATAAAGGGTGCCCTTTGTGGGACACCTTGTAAATGAAAACTTCAATTATTGAATGAAACACTAACAATTGTTCGTTTGTATAATTCAGTAAGAATTATGTGATAAGAAACAGTAAAACCAATGCGGGTAAAGCTTCATAGTTCCAAAATTACTTATTACTTCAAATGCAACGCTGCCTTGTAAAGCTGGTAAAAAACTAAGATTTGAATGCCTTGTATTATCTTTTTTATAAATGAGGATATAAAAAAAGAGTAAATAAACAAATAACTCGATCATAGGTGTAGCGTGCACTTTTCGTTTTTAGAAAACTTTGTTTTTTTTTTATGCATGCATATTTCTTATTTGTATGTATATTTATATATAAATGCGTGTATAAAATTTAAAATAGACGAACAATTTTCTAAAAACAAAAAGTGTGCCTCTTCACGCCCCGCCTATGAACTCGAATAATCAGTTATATGGAGTTAGCATAAGTGCTTTTTGCATACCAAACGTTACTGGAGGTAGTTCTAAGATGGAAGACACTTTATTCTTATTATCTTTTCGGCTTCTTGAAAAATATTTCCTGACATCATTTTTAGTTTTTTGCTGACAAAATGAAAAAGGCGCTTGAATGCGTGTGTGTACTTTTGCCATGAATTTGTCTTTTACTAAAGGCATCAGAATTCAATTAATTTCTTGGATAAAGTGAGACTTTTAATGGGGACATTCGATTTACGTTTTATTTTCCAAAATGTCTTCATTAACAAGATTATATATTAAAAATCTTGTAAAGAAAGATTAAATTTGATTGTTTCATATCATAGTAGAACTTTTTTAACAATTAATATTTTCAACATTCTACTTGTAATCTTGCCTTTTATATCACATAAGAGTTGTGGGGAGAAAAAAATTTATCTTCAGAAAACGGATTTTTTTTAAAATACGCACATAAATTTTGACGAGAATTTTTAGATTTTAAAAACAAAAATAAATAACATGAAAAGATTTACCATATTGAAAAATATAACAAATTACCCTTAATTTCTTCCAAACAAAAAGACCAATCACATTACCACCTTGCATTGCTATACTACTAAAACTGGATAGTAAATAAAATAACTGTTTTCAAAAAATTAATGTTTTAAATTAATTTTTTGTCACACTTTAAGGAAAATGTTTAATTCTAACACTTACTGCTAGATTCCACTTATAAAAACATGTTTTTCAAAAGTAATAATTATTAGTATTACACGATATAAATTATAAAAATAAATTTACTATAAAAATGTTTTAGGTTGGAAGGCAAACGAACAAATAGAATATATTTGCAGATTTGATATTATAGGTAATAAATCTCATAGAAGTTTCAGTGCGGGAAAGCCGTTACTGCACTTTGGCGACCATCCGACTATTTGGCTGCAAAAATAATCATGCCACATTCTGGTAACCATCCGATCGCCGGCAGGGACCAGCAAAACAGCAGCAAAAACAGCTATGTTTTTCATTCTCTCTCAGTGTGTTTGTAATACTCGTTGTCAACTTGTCAAGACTCTTTGCAGATCTCGCACTTATAATTTATAATACGTTGTTTACTCGTGGATACTAACAACGTCATGTGATCAACACTCTCACTGTCAGATCTTATACAGGAAATGTCTTAAATTGTTTACAACTTTTGTGTCACGATGCCGAAATTGATTATCACACGATTCCTGCAGAAGTCCAGGACTAAATACCTTATTCTAGTCATTCTATTAACATGCTTATCTTTGTTAATTATTTATCACAATATGGGAAACAGCAAACAGGTGCCGACTTCTTCTTCGCGGGTTGAGCTCGGTCTCAATCCTGTAGATTCCATACAGCTGATCGAGCAAATCAACACGGAAGCTGAGATCGGAAGGGAAAAATCGCGGGAAGAACTGAAATGCAGTACCGTTCGTCCCTTGAAAAATGTAGATATTAGTACCCCTGAAGTTTATCCTACTTTAAATTTTAAACCACCTTATCGTAGCTATTGGAACTATACGTTTGAAAGAAGGTACTTAAAAATTAAAGAAAACTGGGATAAATTACCCCTTGAGGTAAGTATTATTTATTAATCCTTTTTATTTTATAAATTAAGATTGCTTATGAAATATATATGTAGTTATTTATATGAATAGAATTTCGGAATGAGTCAAAAGTAGCATTTTAGGTAGATTTAAGTGGATTTTATTATAAAATATATTTCAGAAAAAACTATGAAGGGTTTAGTGTTTTAAATAAATTATAGAAAAATAGGTTATTAAAACTATGTTTTTCTTTATGATTCTATATGATTTGCAAACGAAATCTAACACTGAGATAGTTACAGCATTTATTTAGTGAAGTTAACCAATTAAAAATATTTCATTAAGTGATATAAGTATAATATTAAATTAAAATTTGTAAATAAATAAATGGTTGCAAATAAAATATATAATTTAAAATTGAAGTGCAATGTGTTGAATGCATTAATGCTAGTTTACTAATGCCATGAATTTTTTCTTAAAATAATAATTTCAATTTCTTTGAGAAATCATTAATTTCTTAATTGCTGTTTTCATTTCATAATTAGTGCATTTATTATGCATAAATTGGCATTCATATTTGTTAAAATATATATTTTCACTTGTAATTTCAATTGTAATTTAAATGTAATCAAGCAACTAAGAACTGAATTAAATAGTAACTAAAATGAAATTAAACAGTATAATAAATTCTAATATATGGTCTTAATGGTAAGGATCTACTGGAAACAATGGTAAATTTTCTTATGTGGTAGGGCCCCTATGTTCTCCTTAAAAAAGAGAAAATAAAAAGTGTTTTTTTTAACTTCATGATGGTCTTCCTGCTACTCTTATGTTAGCTTTATAATGAATATTATTTTGTTTTGTATGATTGGTTACAAAGCAAATCAGTATCTATAATTTCCTCTCTATCCTGCTAATCTTCTAATTTATTCTCCTGAAAGCATTTGGAAGTTTTATATAGTTATTTATAAGAAGTTTTTAAGATAGACTAGTCATGCTTACCTCCAAAGTAAAAATTTTAAAAAGTAATTAAAAAAATTTTAAGAATATTTCTTTTTGTTTATTATTATTGCAAAAAGTCTTTAAAATAAAACTTAAAATTTAATGAAATGGAGGGGTTAGTGTAGTAGACAATTATTTTGATTGAAAAATAAAGACTATTATAACTATTTAATATAGTTATAATAAAGACTATTATAACTATATTAAATAATTCATTCAATACATAAAGGGGACCATTGATAATTGTATATGGTTACTTCTGGTAAGTATTCATAAATGCTAAATATACACATATATGTATAATCAGGTGTCAAGAGATATATAATTGATTCTTAAAAACAAATCATTGAATGTTTAGAACAAATAAAAACAATATAGGCAAACTTGACTATTGTATTTAAGTTTTATTGTATGTCAAAATTGTAAAATAATTCCTATGCTATCTATATTTCGAATAATTAATACCCATCATATTTTAAATTAAATCGAATCGAATAATTCAAGTCGAAAAGTAATACACACAGTCAATGCATGTTTTATTTTTTGCCACTAATTTGTTTTTAACTTTGAACATTTTTCATTCGAACAGAAAGTCTTTTTGAAGGTTTCACCTTTACACACAGAAAACTTTTTTTATTTTCTCTCTTTTAACATTTTAAATTGCAAATGATCCATAACTGCTCTAAATGTTAAAGAATAAGTAAACCTAAGAATACAATTTTAGCATTGCCTCTGGATTTAAATCTAAATTTTGGAAAACAGTTGTACTGTGTTAACAAGCATATTATATGTTTATTGTTATTATTTATTTGAATAGTGTGATAATTAGTTTTAAGTCTTTTAATGCATAGTGAACTTATATTTTAAATTCTGATTAACATTGAATGCTTTATGGCAGGCATAACAAGCTTTAAAAGGGAGATCACAAAATTTTTTTAAGGGGACTGTAAATAGATTAAATATTTTTTTAATATTTTTTTTTAAATAATTCAAAATTCATGTACTTTTTTAACATTTTAAATTGCAATTTTTTTGTACGTGGGTGTACCTGAAAAATACTTTTTAAGTGTGTGCGTAAGATATTTTCGCCATTTAAATCAATTAAGGCTACTATATCAAATTTAATTTAAATAAATTTAAAAGAATAATGTAAAAGTAATAATACTTTATTAAAGTTATATATGCTTTGTTAATGAATCAAAAGATCTTTTAAGTTTCCTATGCTTATGCTTTGTTAATGAATCAGAGATATTGTATTTGACGCTCAGTAATTATTTCATTAGTAACTGTGATTTGGCCGAATACCGAATATTCGGCCAAAAAAAAATTGGTCGATTGCAGAATGTTCAATGGCCGAATAGCAACATTAAAATAAAAAAAAATTATCATTAATTAATATTTTTCTTTATTTATAGATAATAAACTTATTTATAAAAATAATCAAAACTTAGCTATATTATTGGTAAGGAGGAAAAATTATAATACTTACGCATTAGAAATATTTAAGATAAATAAAAAAACTGCCTAACTACAATTAAAAAAGAAAAAACTAAAGTCGTAAAGATAAGAAATCGAAAATTCTTTTAATTCCTAAAACAAAACTTAAATGGTAAAAATGGTATTTTTCAGAAAAAAAGTATCCATAAAACGTTATAAGCTATATAGTCTATCAAGAACGCTTTTAGAAATGCCTCGCTATTATGAAAATGCCCATAAAAAGATTATATATTTAAAAGCGAAGCAGAAAGAAAATAAATCTAGCTTAATTTTTGAAAATTTATAACTGAGCATCTCAATCTTCCAATTGCTATATTTTCAAGATAAAGTGGAGAAAAATCTAAATTTTACTTTTTTACATTGCCGTATTTTTAGAAAAAACGGATGATATAAAAAACAACGTTCATAAGAAACGTTTTTTAAAAAATGCTGTGTCATAATAAAAACGCTCGAGAAAGATAAATAGAAAAAAATTGTTTTTAGTTCTTAAAATATAATTTCAACGTAGAAAATCACAGTTTTCTATGTTATCGGATATCTGCCTTATAGTACAAGAAAAAAGGGACAATGAAAGAATTAAGTCTATTAGAAACGCTCTGTTAAAATGCTGCTCTATAAGCAGCATTTAAAATAGCAAACCAAAGATTCTCTAAATTCTTATAATAGAACGTGTTGAAAAAACGACGAAATTGTCTTGCCTGAATATAATTTTTTAAAAAAATCAGCAATACAAAAAAAAAACTCTCAGTTTAGTATCAAGTAACCTAGTTTCAATTTTAAAAAAAATTTCTTTCATTTGTCTTTCAGAACAAAAATTCGCAAGTCTTAGAACTTAACAAATATGCGTAAAAACTACTTCTATTTATGTATATTTTATTTTATAACCGCCGTTGAACAGCCGACCCAATTTTTGTGTTTACGACTACTAATGTTCAACTCCGCAGCCTTGTGATTTTGAACCTAATCCAGAAGACAAGGGAACTCCTGCATCAAGTTATGGGAGAAATTCGCCTGTATGGAGGATTTTTTGGGGAAACTAACCCGCATTTGCGTTACATGGAGAGGAAGACCACGAGAACATCCCACGGTTAGCCTGTTGGCAGGGGGACTCTAACCCATGATACGTCTACCACTGAGGATATTTTACGTCAGCACTGTGGTCGGTGCTAGCCGGATGCAAAATTCGTATCGACCAGCCATCTCTGGGATTCGAACCCGTTTCACCTCATTGGAAGGTGTACGCTTTATCCCCTGAGCCATCGCGGCTATCTTATAATGTATAGTAAAAAATCGATTTTAGATTTCTCTTTATTAAGTCATTCCCCAAGAAAAAAAAGACTTTGCCGAACATTCGGCCAAATATTGGGCCAACCGAATATTCGGCAAAATGGGCCGAATACCGAATAGTGGCCGAATATTCATTACATTCCTAAAAGCAAATTTTAAATTTTAGTTTATTCGATTTGTAGGCGAGTGCAAGTGCACCTTCTTTACCCCCTTGCGGGTGGCCAGATAGAAAGATATGTATTGTTGATCGCATTGCAGGCTAAACTGTAAATAAATAAATAATCTCTACAATTTTGATTTAAAAAATAAGTTCCATTTTAAAACCCTCAGAAAGCACCAATGTCTTTGCTAGCATGTTTCTGTCTCATTGAGTTTTAGCATTCCTATTCAGTTTTCTCGGTAAAAACTGCATTCTACTCATAAGTAATTCTTCGATTTGTTGATATTAACCCTAATTGCGAATTAACTTTAATCTAAAAAAAAATGTCTAATTTAAGTTTATGTTATAAAAAAATATGGGAAATAGATATGAAATAAGATTAAAATCAGAATTCTTGAGGGCAGCATATTTTTGTTTCCTTTCTACGTATATTTACCAGCTTTCATTACCAATGTTTCTTTAATGTTTTCTCTTTTTTTTCTCTCTCTATCGTTTTCTCATTTTTAATGAAAATTGCGTTTTTGCATTTATGTTTGAGTAAAATTCATTCAACCCAGTGTCAAATCGTACCATATGTGTGTCAATCAAAGTATGCACTGACAGTTGTCAGACCGTTAACAGAGTTCAGTTGAGATTTTTTTTTCTTGACATTTTTATTATTTTTATTTTTATCTATATATAAAATTGACTTGAAAAATATGGGTGGGAATCTCCTCATTTTAAAGAAAATCAAAATGCAGTATTTATTAATTATCTTAAACCAAAATAAATTAAATATAAAAATATAAAGTATTCAGATTTTTTAAAGAAGAAAAAATTAAAAAAAAAATTTTATTAGTTTTTTTTTTTTTTTTTTTTTAATTTTTTTTATAGAATTACCTTGAAAAATATGGTTTGAGACCTTCAAATTTTAAAGAAAATCAAAACGTTATATTCATTAATTATTTAAACCAAAATAAATTAAATAAAAAAAAAATATATAAAGCATTCGAATTTTTTAAATGAGAAAAAAGAGTGATTTTTTATTGTCTTGGTATACAATTACAAAAACATACGTGTTTCAACACGCCCATATATTTCGTAA